ACACTAGTACTCTACTTAATTCACAATTTTCTTCCCCTAAATTTCCCGTCCTTTTGGATAGTAGTGTATTAATTCCTGTGGGCCTTCATCCTGCAATAAGTTTATAAAGTGTATCTTCTTTTTTTGTTTTGTTTTTGTTGTTGTTTTTGTTGGGGGGGGGGGGGGGGTAGGTTGTTGTTGTTTATGTGTAAGTGATGCTGATGGCAGCTCAGTATCTAGCTGTGAGAATGAAAAAGAGTACTCCACTATCGATACTCCTTTGGAAAAAAAAAAAAAAGGATGCCAACAAAACCCTCAACCAAGATTCGACGTTCAAGAAAGTGAAACCGGCGTATTGGCTCCATCGAGCTTTTACTCCTCTCGCAACGATGAAGATGGAGACGTGCAGAGCCCAGAATCAACCGCCCAACATATTTCCAAAATAAATACTACTACACCTTACTCCCTACTCCCCACCCACCCAATAAAAAGGAAATGAAGATGAATCCTCATCTGCTCTTTTCAATCTCCGCCACCTTTCTCTCTTTTCTTCTCTTCACCTCCTCTCTCTTCTCCGGTAATCCTTACAATTCACCAGCCCTCACTTACGACTTCTCTCTGTTTATTCTTTCTTTTTTTTTTTTATTTATTTTTTGAAGCCAGCTTTGATTGTTTTGTTTCCTGATTTTCTTAGTCGTTCCTGATTTTCTTAGTCGTGCAGTCAACGAAATTCAAGATAGTAAACAAGTGCCGGCACACCATATGGCCAGGTATACTGACCGGCGCCAACAGGACACCGCTCAATCCCACCGGCTTCATTCTCAAGAGCGGCAAATCCATCACTCTCTCCGTACCAAGCTCATGGTCGGGTCGGATTTGGGGCCGCACCGACTGCTCCACCGACCCATCCACCGGGAAATTCTCTTGCCTCACGGCCGACTGCGGCTCCGGCAGGGTAGAATGCGCTGGCAGCGGCGCGGTTCCCCCGGCCACCCTCGCCGAATTCACTTTAAACGGGGACCAGGGTTTGGATTTTTATGACGTGAGCTTGGTGGACGGGTACAACCTGCCCATGCTGGTGGTGGCCAAGGGAGGGACAAGAGGGGGATGCAGCTCGACGGGGTGTCTAGTGGACTTGAATGGGGCGTGTCCTCCGGCGCTGAGGGTTGCGGCTGGGAACGGGAGTGAGATCCGGAGCGTGGCGTGTAAGAGCGCGTGTGAGGCGTTCGGTGATCCGGCGTATTGCTGTAGCGAGGGGCATAATACGCCGGACACGTGTCAGCCGTCGGAGTACTCTTTGTTCTTCAAGCACGCCTGCCCCCGTGCTTATAGCTATGCCTACGACGACAAGACCAGCACCTTCACTTGTGCGTCCGCGGACTACCTCATCATCTTCTGCCCGTGGCCTTACACCAGGTAAAATTTATTTAGTGCCATTGCCTTAGAGATAGAGGCCTTAGCTTAAAATGCTGATTACGAGATATGACTTTGATTTGGGGGTGGGGTGGTGTTGAATGTTTATGATGCATGTTGTGACACGTGGAGCTAATTTCTTCTCTAGTTTAATGCTACTTATTGACTTGAGCGCTTTGCCATTCAATTCTTGCTGCCAATGGTCTATGTTATCAAACTGTAATATTTGATCAATAAGTTGAACCCAAAAAAAAATAGAAGGGGGGGGGGGGGAACAAACAAAAAAAAGAGGTTAGTCAAAGTTTGGATAATACCAACTAAAGATTCCCGTGTTTGAAATAATTCAGTCCTTTTCAGGTCATTCTTACTCAATATTGTACTATTGTTTTAACTATTCACTTCTTCTTTGATTTGATCAAACTTTGCATTGCTTCATCCTTAAGGACTGTAGCTCTTGTTCCCATTTCATCATTGATTTTGTTGGGATTTGATTTCATGTGATCTGGCATTGCTTTGTGCTGAAAGGGAATGTTACACCCTATGATCATAAATATGACAAATGCATAATTCATGCACTCGTGGAGACAGTGGGCCACGAGGTCCGCACCATACTTCTCTCATGGTTCATCCAAGTTTCTGAACCATATTCATGGCCAGGATGAGTATTTCCTTTCCTGATCTTGAAATGCACAAAGCTAAATAATAATGACTTGTTTGTGTTCTACAGTGCAAAACAGCTTCATGCGTTTTATACCATAGATGTTTTTATTAATAAATGACAAGAGATATTTGTTAAGCATGATGTGCTTATGATGGAGGTATAAATTTTGGAAATGGGAACATGAGACTGTTAATTTAGTACTGTGATAGACAAAAATTAACTATCACAAACCTGTTCTTATATGAGGCAGCTCTAGAAAGTAAAAATTAAATAGTAAAGCTCAAATGGTATGAGGTAATACAAGACTTGAAAATGGTAGGATATAGATCTCCTAGCAAGTTTCAACTGAGAGTAGAATTCTACTCATTTATCTATCTTTAAACCCTGGTGTAGAGCTATTTCGACAGACCTTCTTAGTGACTTTGGATATTCCAGCTTGTGGGTTTGTAAATCTAGTATTGAGAACATCTCCGGATTGGCCCAGTAATCATGTTGTATTTTTCTTTTTTACTAGTAATCTTTACTCTATGCTCTGTGCCAAAGCTTTTGAACAGTACGTTCACCCCTAATTAGGTCCAAGAGCACATTATTGGTGAGGGAAGATTCTGGCTATGGCCTTTTATATATGCCTTTAGAATTTGGCTATTCTGTCACTAGTGATAAGAGCTATTAGAATGTGAATAATGTGCATATCAGCTTGGTATGAAGCAAAATGAATATTACATAGGCATCCAACATTGAACTTGGTAGAAATTCTGCAGCATGAAATTGCTGGGAGCTCGAAGAGAGGCTGCACAATTGCCCCTGGTTAACAAAACAACAATGTACATCGGAAGACACCATGCTTAGTGGTGTATCATCTCCAGGTTTGACTTCAATGCAAACTGTGGCTTCTGCAAGCAGTTTTGCTTTTCCTGCAACTGGTATGAATCTTGTTGCTAACACTAGTGGACCCTTTCAGGCTGATTCAAAGATAGCTGCAGGCAGTTGGAGAATACAATTTTCTTCATGAGCCCCTATTGCTGCACTACCTCCCTGATTTATCCAACCTGGGTTCAATTGGAGGATCTGCATTTTGCAGATGACAATGAATGCAAAGTATTGTATATAGTTCCTTGCATCCTTTGCGGTGAATTTTTTTCCTGCTCTTATGATTGAGTTGTGTTATGATTAGATTGCTCAGTTGGTGGGATGCTGTTATCATGTAACAATGAGTCATGTGCAGTTTACAAGTCAACGTATAATGCAATATCAACTTGGTAAAGCAGTTTGTCAAACCTGTTAGTTTTTGAAGAACTGATATTGTAAAGGGTGATGGACACCAGGATAATTGCTGGCTTCTTCTGGGCTCTAAACGAAGTGGATTTTTGTTTTGCCTTCACGCAGCAACACACGAAGGCCATCATCTGACTTTTTAGCAAATGCTCAACTAGGCTTAACTATTTAATGCATTTCATCTGCAAAAGAAATACAATTAGACCATTTGGCAATGTGGGACGGTACCAATATTTTTGTTTCTGGCATTTGCCTGTTCTGTTATCCTTCTTTTTGCTGTTCTCCAGGGATAAAATGTTTTGAATTCTCTGCCAAATGTAAGGCTAGAAATTGCAATCACTTATGGGAATCTTGTACATGCTGACCTTGTCTCATGAGAAGGTATCAACTGACTTTCTCTTTTCCTGTTCTTGTAAACTCCTCTTCTGCTATTCTCCCTATATAACGTGTTTTTTCAATACAGGGCTTTGGTCCTATACTAAAAATTTCAAGTGTGGCTCGCGCTTGCACACCCCTGAGTCGCGTTCAATCCTGTATTTTGGCACCTTTCGTGGACTTGAATTGCTGTCATTTTTCTAGGTTGCTAATGTTTGGATTCTGCAGTTTTAGCTGAGTCGATATATCAAATTTAAGGTTTGATGAGTTAGACGATCGAAGCACGACTTGAGTATGTAGAATAACCTCTGTCTAAAAACATTTTACGTTTTCTCCTTTAGCTGTAGTTTGCTTAAAATCCGACCAAGATTTCATGATAAATCGATAACAAGCACTGAAACATGATGCCAGCACTATATATTGTCCTGATTCAACCAATGTCTTATAATAGGGCTCACTGATGTTTAGATCTAAATGTTATGAAAACAACATACGTTCGCTGAAAACGTTCGAAGAAATAATGTACGCTGTCTATAAGGAATGCATCGTTTAGGGGTGCGCTACCAAATTGCAAAGCCTACGAGCAACGCATTTTGTAGATTTTATAGGAGCTGATGGCAGTAGTTTAGCAACGAGTTTAAATGGGGCGCAGAATTGGGCGTGTTTGGGTAGAAAACCGTCAAAAAGGGTATCTATATCTATATAAATTTGAGAAGTGGTTTTTAGCAGAAACCCTTTCAATGACTTCTAAATTTCCCATTCTTTTTTCTAGATTTTTGTATTTATTTTAATACATAAAATGTAGTGAATAATAACCACCTTATCACCAATCAAATTTAAAGTTCAAAAATTCCCACTATCTCTTAATTCACCCTATAACCACTCCTATATTTCCTCCCACGTTTCCCACTATTATCATACCACGTTTTAGTATATGTACATTTCCGCCATTAACTACCTAGGAGCGATCATACACTTCTCACAAAAGAAAGCAATCTGGTTCTTCTTCTTCATTCACTTCTGATCTTTTTGGGTCCAAGGAGTCCTCTGCTTCATCCTCTTCATCGATATTTGAGTCCATCTTGGTGCCGTCTCCAAATGTATCTGCCTATTCCTTTTTTTGGATTTCTTTATTTGTTAATGTTTTAGTATGACTTTTTTTGGGCTTATTGGAATTAGAAGTTTCTGTTTTACATCATAAATATTGTTTGTGTATGTTAGAATTTTGCAATCTTTTAGCCATTGGAAAATACTATTAACTTACGCCCTTTTTGACCAATGAAAACTGATGCAGCTTTGGTACCACAACTCCGGTGCTCTTCTTAGTACGCATCATACTTTTTTTCTTGAACCTTCGGCAGACGTCAAGAAGCCGGCGGTGACTACCTTTCAGTAAGTGACCCTGCTCATTTAGGTATTGATTAGTATTATTGTGTTTTTTTAACTTTGCCCCACTTATCTGCTATCCCAAATTCAAGTTGTCCTATTATTTAACATATTAAAATTTTCCACTCAAAATTTGTAGGGAACCCATCTAAAGTTTCCTCACCATGGAATATGCCCGCCTACAAGCATTTCAACAACAACTAGATTTCAAACTCGCAAGATTGCAACGGAGGAAACATTTGCTTAGGAAACGAAACATACACCGCAACGATTCCACACACCAGTTGGAAAAGCTTCATCAAGTTTGCGCTGACGAAAAATAAATTTCAAATCAAATCCGAAGGACAAAATCCAGGCTACACCGATTAAAACGTCGCTCGCACCAAATTAAAAAATCTGGTATCATGTTTTCTTTAAATATTGGCATTTCCATTGTAATTCCAAATATTAGTCCCAATATTGTAATATTTTTTTATTTTTGATTATTTCCAATAATATAATATGTCTATAATTTTTTCCCAACCCTTATACTGATTGACTTAATTAACTTATCGAGTTAATTCCCTCACCCTCTCTCTTAGTTTCTTATTTGTTTTTGGTTTTCTATTAATTTTGTAAATGTATTGATTTTGTTTCTTTTGTGAGCAGTAATGGAAGATATTATGTGCACAACCTTCATTAGAAATCAACCTTCTTTTCCAGGTCGGATATTGCTTTGGAATTTTTCAGAACTTTTAACAAGGTCAAATATGTTAAAATTAAAATGCAAAGAGCGAAATGAGAATTAGTCCAAATCATGATTGCCTAAAATCCTTTTTTTTACAAAAAAAAAGTGATGAAAAGTACGTGAAATTATTAAAAGAATATATTTGGAACTCCATCTCTTAATTCTCTTTTCTTTACCTATGCAAGGGATAGAGTTTCTTCTAACTTGAAAAATAAAAAATGCAGAAGCACAACCCACGCCCCCCATATCCCCGCAACCCCAACCCCCACCACAGCCCAGTAGCCCACGCCCCCATATCCCCCCCTTCCCATAACATAAAATATACGGCTAAATTCTTCTGCAGAAGCACCAAAACATAGAAGATGAAGGTAATTCTGAACATTATCAAGTAAATTTCATAACTAGAGTCTTAAATTTCAATATCGGCAAGCATTAGAACAGTCTTAAAAGACAGATGGTGTTTTTTTTTTTTTTTTGGGAAATGAAGTGCTCGATAGCACATAGATTTTGTTTCAAAGTAAAGTTGGACAAAAAAAAGTTAATCATTTGATTTAATTGAATAGACTTAATGTCCCATTAATTGTAACATAATTAATGGGATAGACATTAATGGTCAACATCAGGAAACGTTGGAAATTCATCTTGCATAGCAATAACTCTTACGTGAAGAGGATGAGAAGAGACTAAAGAATTCAGATACCAGTGTAGCAGTTATTGCATTAAGATTGGTACAAAAGGAGTAGTTACAATTATGAGCATACCTGATCTAGAAATGCACCCTTTTGGTTTGCTTGAATCCAGCTTGAAACTGTCGGCTGTTCTAATGCAGATGCTATTGACAAAATGACTAGCCATTTCTTCCAGGTTCTGAATTCTTCAATATCGGGAAGCATTAGCACAGTCTTAAAAGGCAGATGGTGTTTTTTTTTTTTTTGGAAATGAAGTCCTCGATAGCACATAGATTTCGTTTCAAAGTAAAGTTGGACAAAAAAAGTTAATCATTTAATTTAATTGAATAGACTTAATGTCCCATTATTTGCCATATATCCCATTAATTGTAAGGTAATTAATGGGATAGACATTAATGGTATTTGACAATTAATGGGATAGACATTAAGCACATAGATTTGACTTCTGTAGTACATCAAGCAGCATGCCAATTGTAACGTAATAATAAGAAAATAAAGAACAGATGCTGAAAATGAATTTATGAAATTACTTTGTAATTTTTCAGAACTTTTAACAAGGTCAAATATGTTAACTGTAACGTAATTAATGGGATAGACATTAATGGTATTTGACAATTAATGGGATAGACATTAAGCACATAGATTTGACTTCTTTAGTATATCAGGAGAGGAAACAACAACGGTGTTTCACCAGCACCCATCCAACTCCAAACTGCAGAGCTCTTGCAAGACTAATAATACTACCTGGATTTATATCATCTGGGTGGCGTCTTAACTCTAACGCAGTTCTGTGTTTCCACATTTTCTACTACCATATATGAGTCGAATTCATGTTTATTTCCAAGTTTTTGTTTACCTTTAACAGTACTTTCTTTGTGATTCTATTCTGCTACCTGCTGCAAGAGTACAAAAATAGTGTCCTTTTGGCTATACTCTTTATTAAGTTACGAACATTTCCAAACGTCGGTTCTTTAATACATATGGTCTATCCAGTCGCCTTTAAGCAAATAATCACCCCTGGCCTACTCTCAAATACAGCCTAATACATTAGTATTGGCAACAATAAACATGAGACAGAGAGACCCAAAAATGTATTAATTTTTCGTGCGGTATAGACAGCAGATACGCTTTTCGTTGTGAATAATAAGTGACTGTACGCGTTTATTTAATATCCACACTGACAAAAAGCGGACATATACAGAGAGAGAGAGCCATCACTTTTAAAAAATGCCTGATCATCTGACTATCAGGCATCCACAGGAGACCAAGTTCATCTATAAAGTTACCTTTCCCTCCGCAGTCCAGACTTAAAAAACTTGATCCACGGGGCCACATTAGTCAGAACCATATGATCAACTGCTATTTTTTTCACCGAATTTAAAAGATCACTCCAATAACATAAAATATATGGCTAAATTCTTCTGCAGAAGCACCAAAACAAAGAAGATGAAGCTAATTCTGAACATTATCAAGTAAATTTCATAACTACATTTTCACAACAAACCACACAGATTATTATTCACTACGAATAGGATGTTTTGGGAAGAAAATAGGATGCTATTGTTGCCTTAATTCGCCAGAACAAACGGTTTTAAGGAACGAAAATGGTATTCAGCTATGTGAAGGTCATTTTTCAAAGACAGTGTGTATGCATTGTAATGACGGGGTTGCCACTGTTATTAGGTAATTAATTTCATGTATACTTAACTTCAATATATTTTTCTGTATTGCATATAATATTTTATTTGTCAAACAGGTACAACGTTAATATACAAATCAGAGATTCCAGTGGTAATATGCATATTAATCTACAAGACAGACATGCACGATTTGTATTTGGTTGTGATGCTTCTTATCTCAGGGCATTACAAAGGAAGGTAGAATTTCTTAATATATGTTTATTTTTTATAGTACTATTTATAAATTATGTAAAAAAATACACTAATTTCGTACGTTGTTAATTATCAGGAAAATAATGATAGGTTATTCGGCCAACGAATTAATTCATGCATAGATCGTGCATTTTCATTTGTAGTACGCACTCCACAAAATTCAACAGAGTTAATTAAATCACCAATTTTGGCTTTCGTACTAAAAGTGGATTGGTGTGAAGAGTGTTCGCACCTTCAAGGAAGATTATCAAATCGAATGCTTAGTATTTGTAAGTATTTCATTTTAACCACATTCAATTACATTCATTTGTAGAAATATATCATTCCCTTTTTTAATATAGATTTTATTTTTTTTTCAGGATCCATCTTTCGAGAAAAGACAGTTCTTGAATGATATACACATTCTATTATATTTTAAACTATTGTTAAATAGATATTACATTTAAATTTTGTTGGTTCAATTTTTTCACCTTTATTTGTTTATCATTTTATTTTTTTCAATAATATTAGCACCGTGCGTAGCACGGGTATTCACACTAGTTAAATTAAATCGTGGCTGTCCCGAACCGGCATGAACGCTTTTGATGTCAAATTTCTACATTTCCATTTCCGGCTACCATCCTAGGCGGGGAATGTGCAGACACCGTTATCATTTTTCGGCTCCCGTACAGGGATTTATGTCTATTGCAATTTGGGAAGATCACTGCACTGAACTACTAAACTGTTAGTATTGCAAAACGAAATTAGTAGTGGAAACATGTGGCTTTGCTTTATTGAATTTTTTTTCTCATATTTTTTTTAATCCTCCCAATCCTTTCTACACACTTTTCATTCTCACCTGTCAAATTTAAGATTTGAATCCTGGAATTGACAATAGAGATCCTCAATCCTGGTGATTTTGCTTTATTGAACGCGTTGGCGAAGAGACAAAGAGGAAGGCAACAACACATTCTCATAAAGAAAAGAAATCAAAAGAAGTTTCGGCGATTGAACGGAGCAGGCGCACACGATTGGACTGTAAAGGGATAATTCTTCGAACGGGGGGCGTAATCATTCGTTCGTTACCCGATATCAATAAAGTAGGATTAAAAAGAAGTCCACTACACTGATGAACAAATTCGTAAAGTAGGCGTTTGTTGAAAAAAAAAAAATTCGTAAAGTAGGCACGTCAAGTGTGATTGACCGGGGGAGCGGGACGTAAAACATCCGACCGCTTCCATTAATTGAGTTGAATTTTGAGGAGATTAAATGAATGGTTAGGCCTTGCCCAACAGTGCGTGGGCTTTTGATTAAATGAGTTGCTAAAAGGACGTCCGATGTAAAATGGCTGTCTGCCTGTCTCTCACCTTTGCAATCCACCACCCAAAAAAAAAAAAGAAAAAAGTGTGAGGGAACGGGCAAATAAACAAAACTCTCTTACGCACGTGTTTGGATTGGAGATTATTTTTTAAAATTTTAAAACGTAATTAAAAACATATTTATGATGCAGCTAAAACATTTATTACAAATAAGGGGAAAATTATAGTTTTATTCCTTAATGTTTAGTATTTGTGCAGTTTTAGTCCCTAACATTTTGATAAATGTAGTAAATGTGGTCCCTAATACTTAGCACATTTACAGTTCTAGTCCCTAAAATTGGACAAGAACAAATCTTGTCCTCAACGTATCCAATTTAAAGTAGATTTAGGACAATTGAAAAAAATTTTCCCCAATCATTAACATAATTCTGCAATCGTGCTCTGTTGAATTAAATTAGAAATAAAGAAGGAAAATAACGGCTAACCTTAAACAACAAAAAGTTACAGACAAATAACTCATGTACCAGCATGTGAGTAACTAATTAATTAGTAAAAAAATAAATAAAATTGTTAAATAACAAAATTGAAACTAGTTGTAGCACTTTTAGTTTATTGATCCAGAACTTATTTTCTCTTTTTATCCCAACTGAACCTAAGCAAAGAAACCCTAATACTTGGTTTTTGAGTATATTTTAATAAATTTTTTTCTATGATCTTGATTTTTTTTTTTTTCAAATGTAAGCGGGAGGGTTTAAACGTGAAATCTCTCACTTACCCTCTTTTCTTTGGAACCACCCAACTCATTCTTTTCACCCATTGATCTTTGATTATTTAGTTAGTCACGTGACATCAGGTGAATTATTTTTGTTGTTTAAAGTTAGTTCCTATTTTACTTCTTTTTTCATAAAATTAATTTAACAAACACGTAACTAAACATGACTAGATTCCATCAATAATTG